ACATCAGACGCATCTACATCGGCAGCAACTGTTTCGGAAACAACTACCACACCCGAACTGTCTACAACAGAAAGAACTACAACATCAGACGCATCTACATCAGCAGCAACTGTTTCGGAAACAACTACCACATCCGAACCGTCTACAACGGAAAAAACTACAACTTCGGAAGCACCAGGAACCACTTCCCTGGTGGCAACCACAAAGGCAGTGACTAAATTACCAGTTACTAGTGAATTTATCACTACTGAAGCAGTGACGAATGAGCCAGTGACAGACACTTTAGGGACAGCAGGGCTCAATTCATCTGGAAATAATGCAACAGGTAACTAAATATTATTTTAAACTTTTGCAAAAGTAAAGAACATAAATTTTACCAAATCAAGTTAAAAGAATATCACTGAAAAATGTATATCCAAGAATAATTTCCTGCATGACATCACTTGTTTTTCGTGCTTTGTAGTGACTGATATTTACATCTTCTAACCACATTTTTTTTTAAATTCATTTATTTGCGATGTAGTAACTGGACCAGATGTTTCCGTAGTAATAGCCGATACTACCTCTCATATAACACAGGAGGCAAGCACTGTAACAACGTCAGCTGGACTGTTAATAGACCCCACACTATCAGATACAAGTTCTACAAATACTCAAAGTATCACCACTACAGATACACCGGAATCATCCTCTAAAGGTAAGTGTTTCTCTTTTATCTCTTCTTTTTCTCAATGTAAATATAAATCAACTAATAGCGCATTCTCATACTGATAAGCAAAATATAATCATACTCCTAGTTAACCAGTACATACAGGGCAAAGTATGAGTTATCACTGTAAAATGGACAAAGATGACCATACAAAGACACTTTAAAATCACACTGTACAAGGAACACTTGTGCGAGAAATAACAACGGCATCGGTGATCATTTTCAAGGAACAACCGTAACAGAAATAACAATATAATCGGTTATCACTGTCAGGGAAAACCGTGCAAGAAATAAAAACAGTATCGGTGTCCATTGTACAGGGATCAGTCGTGCAAAAAAAGGTAAAGTATCGGTATCAATGAACTGGAAATAAACGTCCCAAAAGTAGCAATACTATCGGTTATCGCTGTCCAGAGAACAACCATGTCAGTAACAGCAAAGGTATCGGTTATTATTGTATATTGAACCATAGAAACTGTAACTATTCCAGAAAAAATGTCGGAAACGGTTCAAGAAACAAATGCTCCGGTAGAAATCCCAACTTCATCTGTTCCAGAAATAACAAGACCGGTTTTATCTTCACCACCTACAACTTTACCGATTACAACCATAACGGATACAACTGTCCAAGAAACAACTACAACGGTAGCAATCCAAACGACTATATCTGCCCTAGATGCAACAACTCCCGTACCAACCACAACAGAAATAACTTTCCCCCAAGTAGAAATAACTGTAACAACTGTTCCAGAAATAATTACACCGTTAGCGCTCACATCAACTACATCTGATCAAGAAACAACAATACCGGTAGCAACCACAATAGCTACAACTGGGTCAGAGGTAACCGTTCTAGAAACAACTGGGCCGGTAGCAACCACAACAACTGCAACTGATCAAGAAACAACTACACCGGTAGCAACCACAATAGCTACAACTGGGTCAGAGGTAACCGT